CTTCATCGTACATGTCTCAGGATTCAACTTTCTAGCCTTATTCCTCTAGTTTCAAACTTGAAGCCTCATTCTTCATGTTACCGACCGCAAGTTTTAATCTACAGGCCTAAAATTCCCCACATCAAACTTAAAATCTTTAAGAATGAAACCTAACCCCCTGGAAACATCTAGTCTGCAACGTCGAGCTTTAAGCTTCAAAATGCAAAATTCCAACTTCAATATTGTCTTCAGGATTACAACGGCAAGCCTTAAGAATTCCATCCAGCCATCTTCAATCTCGAGGCTTTGCAATTCAGACTTTAAACATCATGCCATTTCATATCTAAAACTGTAAGATTCAAACCTTGAGCTTCACACTGCCGGTTTCAAACATAAATCCACAAGCTTAAAATATGAAGTTTCGACCATTTAGCTATAGTACGTTCTTCTTCAAGACATTACACAAGTCTTATGCTGCAAGTTTCAACATTCAAACCTCTTCCCATAATATTCAAAGTTCACAAATTGTACTTTAAACTTCACGCTTTAAACTTCCATCTTCAAGCTTCAATCTACAAGCTTCAAACTTCAAGATTCAAACTTCAAGCTTCAAACTTCAAGATTCAAACTTCAAGCTTCAAACTTCAAGCTTAAAACTTTAAATTTCAAGCCCTAAACTTAAAGCTTCAAACTTCCTACGTCATACTTCAAACTTCATATTTCGAGCTTTAAACTACAAAGTTTAAACTTCAAGCATCAAACTTTAAGCTTCAAACTTCAAGCTTCAAGTTTCAAGCTTCAAACTTCAAGCTTCAAACTTTAAATTTTAAGCCCTAAACTTCAAGCTTCAAACTTCCTGCGTCATACTTCAAGCTCCAAACTTCAAGCTTCAAACTTCAAGCTTCAAACCTGAAGCTTCAAACTTCAAGCTTCAAACCTGAAGCTTCAAGCTTTAAACTTCAAGCTTCAAACTTTAAACTTCAAGCCCTAAAATTCAAGCTTCAAACTTCAAGCTTCAAACTTCAAGCTTCAAGCTTCAAACTTCAGGCTTCCAACTTCAAGCTTCAAGCTCCAAACTTCAGGCTTCAAACTTCAAGCTCCAAACTTTAAGCTTCAAACTTCAGGCTTCAAACTTCAAGATTCATACTTCAAGCTTCAAACTTTAAGCTTTAGACTTAAAGCATCAAACTTTAAGTTTCAAACTTCAAGCTTCAAACTTCAAACTTCAAGCTTCAAACTTCAAGCTTCAAACTACAAGCTTTAAACTTCAAGCATCAAACTTTAATCTTCAAACTTCAAGCTTCAAGTCTCAAGCTTCATACTTCAAGCTTCAAACTTCAAGCTTTAAACTTAAAGCATCAAACTTTAAGTTTCAAACTCCAAGCTTCAAACTTCAAACTTCAAACTTCAAGCTTCAAACTTCAAGCTTCAAACTACAAGCTTCAAACTTCAAGCTTCAAATTTCAAGTTTAAAACTCCAAGCCTTTAGATTCAAAGTTCAACCCCCAAATTTCAAGCTTCAAGGTTCCAGCATCAAACTTCAAGCTTCGAACTTCAAGCTTCAAATTTCAAGCTTTTCAATGGTTACGATCTACAATCTACGATTTACGATTTTCATTTCACAGTTCACAAATTTCAAGTCAGAAAGGAAAGAGTAATAATCTGTTTATGGGAGTAAATCCATTATATTCTCGACAATGTAAACAATAAAAAAGACGTGATAAGGCCTATGTTTATTATTTCTAGTATACGCTGCAATTATAAAGATCTTGACGTAAATGCTTTTTTTTGTGTCGGGTCGTTACGTATCGATCAATATCTGAAAAGAAATGGGCAACCACCATCAATTCTGAATTCTAATATAATTGCATGTTGTGCAAGATGTTGTGCCTTTCGTGGGCTTGGTGTCAGAGTTGGACTGGGTCACTGAGTCACTGGGTCAACTGGGTCACTAAATTAAACTGGGTCACTGGGTCGCTGGGTCACGTCATACTCTTTTCAGTTAGACCCAGTGACCCAGTTTGACCCAGTGACCCAACTTGACCCAGTTTGACCCAGTGACCCAGTTTGACCCAGTGACCCAGTTTGACCCAGCGACCCAATTTCACCCGGGGACCCAATTCGACCCAGTCACCTAGTTTGATCGAATAACGCAGTTAAGTCAGTGCCCTCGGTTCAAGTGTACAGATTATGAAATAAATGAAATGCTGGTTTGTTGAAAATGATACTCGATTGCTTGACAACTGCCATTTCTGTGATGTTTGCTTTAATACTGCCGTAAAAAACTTTCCATGTCCCGAATTGTATTAGAATAATGTTATTTCTTTGCTTCAGGGCTTACCAGTTTGCTTACAGGTGTTCATTCACATTTAATTTTTTTCTACTAGTTAGCTTAATCCAAATAAATCTTTTCTCTAAATACTTTCATTGACTACTTGACTACAAACTATAAACAAATGCATTTGATTTTTTTAGGTATTAGTTCTCTTGAATGAAATTGGGCTACGTGCTTGTTGCCGAATATTATTGAGGAAGTTTTTTTTTTTAATTAAAAGTTACTTGAAATTGTTTTGGATGATACCTAACAATAATTTAATTACTGGGCCACCGGGTCAAGACGGGTCACTGAGTAAAGCTGGGTCAAGATGGGTCACTGGGTCAAGCTGGGTCACCGGGTCAAGCTGGGTCACCGGGTCAAACTGGGTCACCGGGTCAAGCTGGGTCACCGGGTCAAGCTGGGTCACTGGGTCAAGCTGGGTCACCGGGTCAAGCTGGGTCAAACTGGGTCAAGCTGGGTCACCGGGTCAAGCTGGGTCACCGGGTCAACTGGGTCACCGGGTCACTGGGTCACCGGGTCACTGGGTCAGTAAACTAACTGGGTCACCGGGTCACTGGGTCACTCTATGCTTGACCCAGTCCAACTCTGCTTGGTGTATAAGGTACGTAAGTAAATGTTCTCTAAGAATCTAAGAATGGTTCAGTGCACAATTTGCGAAAATCGCACGAACTTAAGATCTTTGAGGGGGCGACACAATGTGCATGCACGACGCACATAAATTTTCTCGTGTCATTTACATCACCTCCACCTTTAAGTACTGTATTTAAATTCGGTGGTAATCCAGTAGTCAGTATAGTAGCAAAATAATGGTCCTCGATCGAAATGCTGTTAATAGTGAATAATCAATCATTTTATAACAGAATTCTAGCTTATAACAAGTGCAAATGAACGCAAAAACTGTAAAGTTTCTTGCTAGCAGGATCCCACCCCCTTGGATGTGTAGCTTGCCCCGCGTGCGTGAAACGCAAGCGTAAAGATGAACTTCAAGTTATATAATTTAGCTGACCAGTCAAATAAAGGAAAAGCGCGACGAGAGGAGTGCTACGGGAAGAGTGCAGCGGGAAAGTGCTTGGGGAAGAGTGCACGGGAAGCTACCAGCGAGAATAGTGCAACCGGAAAAGTGCAAGGGGAAGAGTGCAGGAGGAACCTAAGGACTGTGTACCGTGTCTTAAAGATTTAATTGAGGATTTAACATCCAAATAACTACACAATTTTATCAGTGAGTGAGAAGAAGATGTCAATGAGTCAGTAAAGTTTGATAACACAGTGTGGTACAAATTGTTATGTCAAATTTCGCACAGGAAGCTCAAAAATTGAAATTATACCGCATACAGGGTGACCCAACCTTACTTGTGGTACTGAAACCAAAATAACGTCTACACGACGTAGTTTACTGATTATGGTGCTAAGTGCTGAGTTTTTGACGTTATTGATGCAGTAGCTACTCAATACTTGCACTACTAATAAACCAATAATTTTGCGCGTTCATCTCACCTACACTTATTTTAATCAAAGAGGCCCGCGTCGTGACTTTTCTTTCTCAAAGTCATCAAAGTTGAAGACAAGTTTGTTGCTTTCACTGCAGAATATGTTAATCGCGCTTTCATTGAGGTGGCGCGCAAACAGAAAAAAAACCCGTGGGTACAGTAAGGAGCAAAGGCAGTTGCTGTAGCGACAGCTGAAAAAGAAAATGTGGACAAGATATGCTACCAACTTTGCGAACGGTACTCTTATATAGCTTAGGTTGTATTACGATAAGAACGCTACGTCGCACATAAATACGAAGCTCTCAGTTTTCAAGTTTTCTCCTTGACTTTAATCTATTGTTTAAAATATGAATGGTTAACGTAATGGCATTGGTAATGAGTACTAATTAAATTGATTATATCAAGCAAATTTGAGTTGAGTTTGAGTTTTCTCACATTTACTTCAAGCACATGATTTATTGTTGACATCACCAGCCACATATTTCACTATTACTTTATGCCTAAATGAATGCAATGAAATTCAAATTGATTGTAATATAAAAAACCGCATTTTTCAATGCAACAGCTGTATAGAAATGCATTCCATGGGAAGTTATTACAGGTGTATACCTACTCCCAAATAATGTGTATTGACGTCGGCATAAAAAACCCACTCCGCATTTTAAAACATTGCGCCATCGTTGACCTAATTCTTCTTCATATTCTGAGCACATAATATACAAGAGGAGTGAGTCGGAAATTGTAAGTTGTAAAATTTGGTAGGTAGGGTTACTTTTAAATTATTTATGTTGGTTGCACGATAACTAAACATAATTTTACGTTGGTGCTCCAGGTGACGATACAAAGCCGCTACTACACGAGCGTCCTGTAATTTGTTTTAGCTGCAACAAAATATTTGCAATGCAAATTGTGCAGGGCATGCATGCATTTAGTCGTCCTTTTGCGACATTTATATTTAATTTAGGGCGGCTAAACTAAGTTTCGCGTTTAGTTCGAATTTAATTAGCGGAAAGCCGAACTAAAAATTGATTTTAGTCGAAGATACAAAAAGAAGACGAAAGGCATATTGTGAAAGGTTCTAAACTTAATTTACCCCGAGAAGCCTCCTTTAGAAGGTAAAGGAGGTTCTTCGGTTATCCATCACCTGCGTTAGTTTAGCATATTTTTGATCTAAAAGAAATTCTCCTTCCTTTCAGAAAGAACATAGCAGCGAAAAACAAATTCAGCTGTCAAAATTAGATTTTCCGGCATCAGGTTCGTACTCGTGCATTGTCTCCATGGAAACGCCAATATTTAGCAAGGAAACTGAGAGCCACGAACTCACCGTAATAGGTACGTATGTACGTACACTCTATGCTTGGTATGCGTGTTTTCGCCACTTTAAAAGTTTCTTTATGGCGTCAAGATTTCGACGTTTCTTTGTCGCGAGCGTCGAGCGGAAGCTTTGACTTTGTAGACGTGTATTGTTTACGTTAATAACTGGCTTGCGGTTATTCTCTTACCTACATTCGCAAGGATTTTCTTTATTTATTGTTCGCTTGAAAGTGCCTATACGAACTTGTGTGTTTCATCAAACGCGAAATAATGGGGGAGCGCGCGAATTGAACTTCTAAGCCAAATTTGCAGTGCCATCGAGAGTAATAGCTCAAATATGTTAAGCTAACAAAGTGTAGCTCTCGTAATCTCGCGATCGATAACTTCCTCGTTTAACTTAATGCAAATTCGGAACTACTTAATATCGCTTTGAAATGAGATTCGTATTTCCAGTAAGTGCTAAACTAATTACGCACAAAAACAGCCACCCGCCAAAATCTAATTTGTTGATTTACGGCTTAGTCGATGTTTGCGATGTAATTAGATTGCGTCTTTGGTTTTGTATCACTTTGGATTTCGTGATTGAATCCCAAAAGTATAAAAAGCTGTAGGCCTTTTCTTCTGAAAGATTTTCTTTGTAAATCGGAGAACATCTGCAAACCATCCGCCACACCTCAGGTAACAATCCCTGATCGAATTTTTAAAGGATATTTCTAATTACTCTTTCAACGTCAAACTCCAACCAGACAAATCCAGTAAAATTGTCTGTATTCCCTACAAATAGAAAAATATACTTTACCTTAATCATACCGCGTCTAAAACTACCCCTTGAGTCGTCCAACCTTGGAAAAGTGGATTAGAAGTCGTGTAAAGGAATCAAAAGTTACTGATTCTGGATCCTGGCTCGTAGCGGAAAGGCTTCACTGTGTGTTGCATCCAAAATATTGTTGCCTAATCCAAGTGTCAGAGTTAAATTCATTAAAAAGTATTGTGGTGTACCCAGGCCAGCCCCGAAAGACTGCGCAACTCAAGATTTAAATTCAAAACTTTCCCTCCCAAACTAACTGAACCCCATGGCACGTGATCGTCTAGATAAGCTACCTAACCTGAATAACCGAAAGATAGGACCATTTACTACGTTGTGTTTTTAAGAGTCGCTACAAGATATGTGTTGCCCGTCGGAGTGAGGATCAAGTAACGATTACAAATAAAACAAGTACATGCTTTAAAAACGGAGATTTAATCCAAATAATTAGCATTGCAAAATTAAATTTAGAAAATGGTAGTTCACCGAGTACATATATAAAAATAGGCTGGGAAAAAAAGAACTGACCAAGAAAAAACCCAGCCAACAAATTAATATTGAACTTTATAGCAAAATTAGTTATCTGTAATGGCATGAATGCATGTTGTCAAGTACAGCAATACAATGTCGAATCCCAGGCTCCACTGGAATTGCTAAAGAATAAATATTACACACACATAACAAAAACAATCATTAAAACATTACAATAAATTCATATAATAGGTTTGGATATTGGATGGCCAGCCCAAATCCCACACCGAGTAGTCTTTAGTTGCTCTGGTCATGACATGTCAACATTGTATGAACTCGCTAGGAGTTGGCCTCTCAGAAGAGTCTTTCACATAGGAAGGATACCCCAAATTGTTAACAAAACAAAAGGTCACAACGAGAACACGCCACACGCTTTTAGCGAATCCCTGCGCAAGTGAGGCCGGGCCTAGCCAGCGCCATCATGTACGGCTAAGCGGGACCCCAACTCATTCATTCAGACATCTCTAGGGCCAGTCCAACCTACTAGTCTTAAAATGCCGGGTTATAAATTACCGAACTCCAGGCTGTCTACGATGAGTACTGACAATAACCGATCAAAAGACAAGTCATGACATAACATAAATAACAGAGTAACCAACGGAAAATTCGCACGCATACATAATTATAAACAACATATACACAATTTATGTAGGCGTTGACAGTCAACATATTTGCACTGGCATAACAAAAACTGACACAAAACCAATATTCGATCACTACATGACAGGAATCGACTAAACGAATTGATTAGCAATATCGGCAAGAAGGCTCTTTTCAAAGACACAACAAGAAAACACATTACAACAATACAAAGGAACATGTCGTGGCAAACATTAGTATCAAGTAATTAATTCACAATGCCAAGTGCAATATGTAACAATCAACCACCTAACATACGTCACTCGCCCCAGATGAGGCACCCTGTAAATACACAGTAACATAATCAGGTAAACAAAAAATGTGCTGCAATGAATTCAATTATAAATTAAAATGTAGTTCTGCATACTTGTATTGGGTATCGCCCCTAAGGGAACATACAGTATCTAAATATAAACAAAAACACGTAAATCGGTCAGTAATTACCCAGTAGGCCCAGTATAATTAAAACTGCAATTTGTATCTGGAATGTGTTATAAATGGAAATAATCAATGCTGTACGATAAAGTTAAATTGGCAAATAATTGAACACGACCATATCGTTATTAGAGGGATGCAATAGACGTAATAGAGATAAATAAAACGAGTACATCACCTTTGTAATTGTCGAAGGTGCACTCACTATTCGCAACGTAAAGATTTACTTCTGCTCTCAACAAAAGCACACATACTTCTGCCTAAATTTCCCCTTTCTAGGCAAATCCTAGACGAAAACAAATCTTAATATCGAACGTGCCTCGAGACGGGTCGATACGGATCATTAAGTTTCCTCGCATAGCTCGCATAGCGTAATATTTGACACTTTTATTGTAAATTATGGCCCATTTCAATGTAGAGCAGAGAAGAAAAAAAACACGTGTTCCACGGAAACGAAACAAAGGCAATCTTGACCTCTACGTCGCGCCAGGGTCGGTTTCGGGAATATTTAAATCGAATTTTAGCGGGCTAATTCGGTTCTATCACAGTATTAAGTAGGTTTTGAATTTTAATTTTTTTTAATTTCCGCGTTCGTCCGTATTGCGGACTTCTTTATTATTATTTATTCCAATCCATCAAACTACCAGGGAGCTTCCACACAGATTTTAAGTAATGCTTTCAAAGTTAAAATAGAGAATATACGTTCGCGGGCTCCCGTTACAAATATCTGCGGAGAGAAAATCGTCACCGTGGTGACTAAAGATTTGTTTGCTCAATTTACGATGCGCAAAGGTTATCGTTACGAGCAAGCCTCAACGGTTCTTTCACTTCTTTTTTTATAGCTGCCGATGGGGTAAAGATTGCAAACGACAAAACACAAAAGGTAAAAAGTTTGTCCCTAAAATATTACTATACCTTCATAGAGTGTAGTACAAAAAGTTTCTAAGACCTTAATGTCCAACAAAATTCAGATCTTCGTGCCGGAAAGCGGAATTACTGCTTAGAACTATCATCGAACAAACGTCGTTTTTTCGTTATATTTTCGTTCGGTAAAATTTCGTTTTATTTTGTTTTAAGTGTCGTTTAAATATTTGTAAAAGCGAAATTTGATTCAGCTCAGACCTTGAAGCGCTCGTTTGTAGCAAACGTTAACGCTATCGTACGCTTATTTTGTACAAATTTTTAAGTAGCGCTCGAATTTCAACATCTACACTATAACAGAAAGCTTTTAGTGAAAATTTAAAGTCTCTAGCAATGGTAATTGCTGAGATCTCAGCCGGACAGCCATCCAGCCATAACGAATATAATAGTATCTTTTTTTCAAAATTGCGCTAATAATTAAGTTGTTATACTGGTAGCGCTATCTAACGGTAAAATTATAGCACCTCCGAAAACCATATCGAAATTATTTTCTTCAATGGTCGATCTCACAAGTAATCTAACTCAAAATAGACTAGAGGCTGCACATCTACACTATAGTAGAAAGCTTTTAGTGAAAATTTGAAGTCTGTAGCTATTGTAATTACTGAGATCTCAGCCGGAGAGCCAGCCAGCCAGACATAACGAATATAAAAGCGTATTTTTGCCAAAACATGCACTAAAAATTTAAAGGAAAATAATTCCGATCTTACAAAGCACAAGTTATTCACACTCAAAGGGAATACGACCGTGGACCCAAAAAAGTAGTAATACAGGGCCGTTCCTGCGTCGTTTAATGTCGCTCGCCACCCCTATTTCTTCTGCTCTTATTTCACTTTCAAGGTCATCAATGGTCATCAATAAAGCCATTTGTTGTCATTGCCATATTTCATTTCCAAGGCCATCAAAGTGCATAGATCCGATTTTTGTGGTGTCATATTTCATTTTCAAGGTCACCAAAGTTCGTTGGCCCTATTTTTGTGGACACGGACGACGCGGCTCTGCGCAACTCGGCACCGGAATACTCGGCTCCGGGATTACACGGCTCCAGGACTATCTCGGATCTTCGACGATTCAACTCTGGGACTATTTGGCTCTCAGACGACTCGGCTCTGCCGTAACTCGGCTTCAGGGCTATTCGGCTCTAAGGTAAGTCGGCTCCGGGACTACTTTGATCTGAGAATACCACCAGGCGCATAGATGCATAAATTACACCCAGTTAGGCCCATTCCCCTCGCCTCACCCTGTATGCATCTGCGCAGTATATACCATGTATTGGTACGAAGATGCAAAATATGAATTCCTCCTTAGTGATAAAACAATTCGTAAAGTTGAAATTTGTATGTGCAAGCCATACGAACGTAGGGTTTTTCTGAGCCAACCGGTTCCTGGTAGAACTAGAGCCGAATAGTCCCGGAGCCGAGTAGTCACAGAGCCGAGTTATCCTACAGCCGAGTAATACCAGAGCCGAGTAATCCCAGAGTCGAGTAGTCCCGGAATCGAGTTGTCCCGAAGCCGAGTAGTCCCGGACACGAGTAATCCCGGAGCCGAGCAGTCCCGGAGCTGAGTTGTCCCGAAGTCAAGTAGTCCGGTGCCGACTAGTACCGGGCCGGGTCGCGCACAGCCGAGTTTTCCTGTACAGTCATTTTTGTTGTATCATGTTTCATTTTGCACTGCCATTTTATTTTCAATGCCATCAAAGTTCAATGACATTTTTTTTGGGATCCATATTTCCAATGAGGAAGTAGGTTCGTGATAGGGACATTAGTTTACAAATACGAGGGTGCTGGGCCCGCCAACAAGCAAAATGGAAAATTTAGAGCTTCTCCCGCAAATTTTTTTGTTGAAAAATTTAATTAATTAATTTCATTATCGTACCTGTGAGGATTAAGAACGTCACGTACCTAACCTTTAAATTCTCTGAAACACGATTCAGTGGATACATTTACATGTTTGTATAGTGAATTTCATTGTTTCAACTGTAAAATAAACTTGAAATTGATGTCCTTTATTATTTTGGGAAATCACTTATAAATATTACGTAATGACGTATATGTATTCCTAAAGTAAAATTAGATATAGCCCCATCACCTCCTGTTGATGCAATGATCAGTGGCGTAACTAGATAGGTACCGAACCGAAGACGCTAAGGCACCGATGGCCCCGAATGCGCTCTAGAACACCACGTCCGGGTGAGCAGTACGGGGTATAGACCAGTCATTAAAGAAAAAAACAGCAGTTAAATTCGAATAGTTTTCTAAAGTCGACTACAGGGTGCAAAACAAATTTGTGAGCCTTTAGGATGAATCTCATAAAGGGGCGATATATATTTGACGCAGTTTCGATGTTTCGCCTGAGTTCGATCTATTATACTTTCAGAAAGTAATAAATGGACAAAATGGATATTTAACTGATAAAGAAAGCGTTCAGTAGGTAGTCAAGCGTAACCGTTGACAAAGGTGCAACTTAAACGAGCAACTTTGCTAGTAAAAAAGACGTGGAATGTAAAATGTAATCTTAGGAACAAAGTAATTATCTCTTCATTTATATTGAATAATTGAATTGAATACGTAATTTCATATCGCTTTTGTTTATAAGTCACAAAACTTATTGGTCTAATTAATGGGGGCGCAATTGCCACCGTTGCGGGCGTGGTCTGAATACCGATTTAATAAAATTTAACGTTGTCGAAATGAGTAATTAAAATTTATCCTTTGTGAAACTATACGTTCGTCAATTATTTGTAACTGGAATTAAGTTTGCTAATTACGTATGCTGCTAGTAAATTCTATTAATGATTAATTAATTCCTCCTCTTATAATTGACCGATGTTTTAATTTTATCACTTCATAAAGGTGAATTGAAACGTGTCAAAGAAAATTTTACTGGTTTAGGAATGTTTACTGCGGCTGACAGACCACAGGACATTTCGACCCTAATACTAGTCTGCGGTTGCGTGACCAATCGGTACCGAGTACTGCCATTTATGCGGTGGCTCGTAGGTAGATCGGTAAAATGCCATTTGCTATTGTGGAACGCCCACATGCTTTCTAATTACCGAGGGAGATTGTTTCTTCCATGACGCATTTATTGTAAAATGTTTGTGTGGATTGCAAATGAAAAAGAATTTATTTCCAAAAATATGAGTTACGGAAGAAACCTAATTAACAATTACGAAGTCTTTAATTTACCTGTGTTCTACTTCAAATAAAAGAACCGCAAGACGACGACCTCTACAATTTTAACTTAAAATACTACAAGACACAACGTAAAAATTTAGGGTTCTGACACTAACATCTATGAGGTTAGAGTCTGGGAGGAGGTGAGTGGTATAATAAACAAATGTAATTATCCCTGTACAGTACAGTACCTACAGTAATTACCTACAGTGCTTTAATGATTAGAGCTTAATGGTAACTGATGTGGCCCCAAAATCTGGTAGGCCGAACCTGATCCCGCACCGCTTCGAAAAATACCCAGTTACGCCACTGGTAATGATAAGGAAATATTAATAAGCAAGTTAAAAAGTGGTCGTAATCGTACAAAAAAAGCGCATTTCCACTTGCATTCATTTCCCATTTGTAAGATGCAACTTCTGTTAAAATCGTAAAAATCCGGCCACAAATATGAAAGATAGCGTTGCACATGTGCAATCCATTTTTGACGTGCTACTTCAATTTCATTTTATAAGAAGAATTTCATTTCAATGCTTTTCTAAATAAGAAAATCTAAATTTTGAAACTAACGTTAGATTTTCCTTTGTTACGCGCCTATGTATCAAATTTCATTTAAATGCTTCCATAGATCAAAAAGTTAGCACTGCGCATGCGCAAAATAAAATTTTGAAACTGGCGTTTGATTTTCCTTTATTCCAAGTGCATATGTGTCAAATTTCATTCAAATGCTTTTATAAATAAAAAAGTTTGCAATTCGGTTTATAAATGGTCGAGATGCGAAAAGGGCACTGTGAATTTTGAATCGATTCGACTCAACTTTTGGCATTGCGTATTATATGGCTAAAGCTATTCCCATATTGAATTTCATGCAATTCAGTTCATAACTAACGGAGATGTCAAAACGATCGGACATTTCTAAACAAAGTTCTCGTTCACACGAACAGATAGATGGACAGACAGACAAAGGAACAGACGGATAGACCACCAGACAGGCGACAGACAGCAATACAAAATGATATCTAAACGATCTTTAGGGTCGTTAATAAACGGCAAAAGTGTAAAATTATGGAACATGTAAAAAACGGTTTTTTGTTTTTTTACAATAACTTTTTTTGTAAGCGGTACAGAAAAAATTCCTTCCTTGGTGCAAGCCTCGACACCATAACGAACCAAATAGCAAAAAAAGTAGACAATAGTTCTTAAGATAAAGAACTAGTAGCGTCTCAAAACGAACGGACGGGCGGACAAAGTGGCCACAATAGCGAATTTTATTTTTTATTTTGTGGAAATGCGCTAAAAATGAGTATAATGTTTATAAAAACACATTTTGGTTGGAGTATAAAATGCTCTTAATTGGCTTGGGAGGGGGGGAGGAGGAGGCGGCGATTTTGAGGGGCTCATAGGCGCAAAATATGTAGATCCGGCCCTGAAAACATCATGTATATTTTTTAGTCCTCACTGTTCTCCTATATCGTACACTGAAGACTTTCTAGATCTTGCGGTTCTTCTCGTTCTTCTGGATCAGCTAATTGAGATAAGCTACCACATACAGTGTATCGCAGATTTTTTAATTTTTCTAGATTTTCTAGGTCTTTTCTTGTCTTTTTTTTAATGTTTGATGCTTGACTTGAAAAGTGTTACAGATACTACATTTAGCCATAACACCTTAACGTCAAATAAGTTGAAAGTTTCTGTTATCAGTTTAACTTCAGGAGCCCTATAATCAAACCTTGGCCCTTTGAATGACCTTTAAAGTGGTACTTACATGAAATCTAATAGACTAAAGGTAACAACGTGTTCAAATTTCCATTAATTTTTAAATTTACATCACTGTGGGAGCAATTTAAGACGGCGATGTAGACTTGTAAATGTATCCATTGGAACATAGTCCAATAAATATTTATAGGAAATTTACCTCCCAGAATGTCAATACTGTACCGTCTCGGTCCGTGGCGCTAATCTATCACATATTGTTAAGGAGAAGCGGGCCGTATTTGATCAACTATTAAGAATACGTCAAGTGCATGCTACCGAAAGAAAAACACTTTTTCAATTCTCGATAAGGTCGATCGTAGATTTTCCCTTGCGTATCATTCTGCCTATAAACGAAAGCGCTTTGAAAGCCTCGCGTAAAAGATAATTACTTTTTTTGAGATCGTCAAATAATCTCTTTTTTTCTCTTCTGTACACAGAACCTCAAGATAGCGATCCCATTATTACATTCAACAAGGATACATACGAGATCGGAGAAATTTTAGAGGCAAATTGCACGACGAGTCCTGCACGTCCTCCGCCCCACGTCACGTGGTTAATAAATAATGAACGAGTAAGTATACGTAGGCGCTGTGTATGTTGTTTCAAAATTCCTTTTACGGTTTCCGCACAAAAGTGTATTCCGCTTCGGGTTATACCAGGCGAAATTAATGTAAATTACGTATAAATATTTGGAATGCCTTCATAATGAATATTAACATCTCTACCTTTATTTGTACGCCCGTATATTGCGTGTTTATTGTTTACAAGGGTGGCCCAATTTAATTATAGAATATCAATAGGTAAGAAAGGAAAAAGGGTTTTTGTGTTAATAATAAAAGTTTCTACTCGTTCACTTTATTCCCTTGCAAATTGGTGTTCTAAAATACAAAACACGTTGAAGGACATTTTCCGAAGTTTACAATTTATTATGCGCCAACACTTTTAGAATAAAGGAATAACATTTGCGGATTTTGCTATCAAGAATTTTTTAGTATTTATTTATTTAATTGTCTCATCATTTTATTGATAATAAGAATTACCTCACTCGCGACGTATGCAATTATGCGTCTACGTCACAATCTAATGACCGAAGATCTGCGTACGCCACATTTTGAACATTGTATACGTAGCGAGGCGCGATGATGACTTCGATTCGAAAAAAATAAGGCATGCTAATAAGTACAGTGAAGGTGGGGAATGTATGTTCAAATATGACAAAACTCCTTAACATAACTGTTTGCACGTCACATTTTACAGCTACTACCACCTCCTCCATCCAATTCATGTACTTAGCCATATTCAACTGGATGGAAGAGCAGAAATGGTATGTATGTTGCATTCCATTACTGAATCTCGCCCTTTGTACACATTTCTATGTAATTTAACCTATAGGTACTTATTAAAGACATTTATTATTATTATTATTATTATTCTGAAGGAGAGTGCCAATCAGGATCGCAGTTTCCATATAATGTTTCGTTGATTTATACAATGCGTCAATGGTACGCAGTATCCAAGGTTTTGACACTGCAGAATTACATCTACCTGGTCGACAACGATCTACGCCTTGTAATTTCCCCGCAAAGTTGAAATTTAAAAGGAAAATAGGAAAAATATTCTGAATCCCTGAACGGGCCCCCGTTACTTCGTTCAAACCCACAATAATGCGCGATATACTCATAAATCTTCGACGCTCATTCCATTACAACTCATTAAAAAATAAGAAATTCCACGCTCCGCTTGAAAAAAATAATAAAAATGATTGCTTGTGGATATTACAAACTCCATGTTACGCCACTGTCGCAATTAACATGTTGGAATGGTAAAAAGATGCACCGGAGTAATTCAAAACTTTATTACCAGTTCCCCACTTGACAATACCGGTATCCTGTCGTACCAACCTTTGGTTGTGTTCTGAAATAGGTTTTTAACAGCCTACACTAGAAGCTAAGGAAAGGTCAAAATGCTGTGTAAACTTTTATAAACGCCTCCAAGAGCAATGGAAGGATCTATCTTAACGGTCTTTTAGACCCTATAATGCTTTTCCAGAGGTGTTTAGTCCCTTCCAGAGCTACTGCTTGGGAAGTTACTGAATCATGTGATGTCATGACTTTTAGATCCTAGCTTTACAGACCTTTCCTAGGATTTTTATGCCTTATTAGAGCTGCCTGTGCACTTTTGCAGGACCATGTCGGGATATTCTAAATGCATTTCAGCGATTTTCTGTTCAGTACACCCTTCGCTCCTTTGGAAAGCGATCGAGTTCCGAGAGGCCCTTTAAACGGGTTCTTAGTGTTGAAAGACAAAATTACGGGGGACCACCTTCCTAATCGAACCCTGATGATGTGAAATAATTTGTCGCATCAGAGGCAGACATGCCAACTCAGCCTAATGGCTGCCTATGCTGAAGTATAATATATGCCCATTTTAGGCAGCCTTGATGGCGCGGCTGTTTACCAACCTTGATCTTACAGACCATGTCCATTAATCTAGCAGAGCAAGGTCAGCAGAACACAATCAAACATATTGCATAATTAGGTGCTAATTAAGTGCCCTGTTCCCGAGTTAAATGCTCCTTTTTTTTAAATTATTACATGTTCTACCAGGTGCATATGAACTCTTCACAGCACTACCTCAAAAAACCAAGAAAATGAAAATATAATTAATAAATTAATATATGTCCAACGCTCTACCAATTAATTAATTAATAAAATATAATTAGGTGCTAATTAGGTAATTGGTAGCTATCCATCTTATAACGACTCAAAACGGGGTGAAATTGACTAAGTGGAAATTATAAAAGCACTAAACCTTCCCCATACTTCATTTAATTGTTTCAGATTTTAAATTCAGACATTATGTGACAGCACAGAGTTAGGTATATAGAGGTAGCTGAGTCAGTTTGTTCTAATAAGGCTATTTGAGGTTTTATTGTCACTCGGGGACCTGAAACTGAGAGGTAACTGAAGACGCATCATCTGGTTTAATGATCACTGCTTAATTATCCATGCTAAAAGAACGCATCGGAGCTCGCCAGATCAATGACGGATGAGGCTTGCTACCACTATTCCTCTTATTTTGCTTCCTTTTGTTCTACATAAAGACCCAGCGAGGTGTCACCAAGGCGTCCTGCCGCTGGCGCTGAACCCACTTCATTCACACTTCCGCCTCCTTAGCGCTAGGTATTTACGAGGGTATTTACCTTTATTAGGAAGATCGCAACCGCCCTTCTCCTTGCGTGCTCCAGGTTTTCCAGAGATAGCTTATCTTATGAAGTGTGTTTAGAAGGAACAAGAAAGTTATAAGGTCACAGGAGCCAAGGAAAGTGGAAACGGAGAACGAACGAAACAGAAAAAAGGGGTAGGGAGAAGGGGGCGAATTGAGAGGAGGAGAAGAGGAAAACATGGAGAAATTGATGGAAGGAGTAAAAAAAAGGAAACACGAAGAGGGACTAATGAGACTAAGGAGCAAAGGGATAAAATTAGAGATAAGATTATGGAGGAATTAGGAAGATTAAGGGAATAAATGAAGAGAAGGGAAGAAGAGCAATAGGAAAAAACTTATAGAAGAAGAAAATGAGAAAAAATTAAGAAGAATATAACGATAAGGGGAGTAGGGATGGAAAAAGGGAAAAGAGATAGAGCGGAGGAATGACTAAAACAAAACTTACAAGTAGAGGCGAATGTAAAAGAGGCGAGAACATTTGAAGTACGGAGAAATAAGATAGTAATCGCAGAACTAACATGGGAAAAGAAGAGGGAGGTTATGAGGGGAAAGGAAAAGTAAAGGGGACTGAGATATACATATATGGTGAGTTGAGATATGAAGGAAGAAGGGTAGAAAGGGAAATTGGAGAGGTTACGAAAAGGAAAAGAGGCAAGGGAAACTAATAGTAGATGATGAAGGATACAGATGGAGTACCACGGAAATAGGATAAATTTTAACAGAGAGGAAAAGAACGAGAGGGGAAAGGGCGGAGTATGGAGGAAGAAACTAACAGCAAAAGAGAAGATACCTAGAGGGCAAGTGAGGGTGATGGGTACAGACAGAGTTGACCACATAAGAAAAGGAAAAACGAAATAAAGAGGGCAACGCGAAAATGATATTTTGGAATGTAGCGGAGGTAGTCGGTGAAGAGGCTCAATTCTGGAAGTTTGTAAGAGGATATGATGTGGTGCAGATGATAGAATCATGGCTAGAAGAATTGAATTGGGATAAAGTAATGAACAGAGGAATTATTTACGAAGAGAGGGCAAATTAAAGGGACAAACCAAAGAAAGTATAAAAAGAGACAAGGAAATGTGGATGGGAGTCAGACGAGTGAACGTGTAAATGTGTAGAGAAAGAAAATATGAGTGATGACTATATACGCAACAGAGAATAGAAATGAAGGACTTAACAAATATAATAGAAAATAAGAAGGATGAAAGGGAGGAGGAGGGACTAATCTTGGGGGGTGATTTTAATGGAACATGGGTAGAGATGAAAGAAACTACCACTCACACATCAGGTACAACCTCTCCACTCTTCCTCCAACCATGCTGGAGGCAATCTTATACGCTGTGCCCCTAACATTTGCCGCCGTCTCTTCGCACAAACCCTTTATTTTCGTGATCTCCTTTAGCCCCCGTTCGTTTGGTACTACTACCCCTAGAAGAAGGTCTAACCAGACGATACAACCGATTAGTCGATCTTTGGAAGGTATGGCTGAAGTAATTGGTTATTAGCCACGTAGTTAGTAATCATGATCCGATCATTCATTCATAATTATTGGGGTGCACGAAATAATCACGGAGGGGCTGCTATTAGTCTGGGCACTCGCCCAGGCCTATCATACGTCGCCATCCCCTGATGTTACACAACCCCTTTATCGTTGCATCACCTCCCACAACCACGTCAAGGAATTGCACAATTTCCAAATGTTAGTATGAACAAAGAGTATCCATAATTACTCTTTGGTATGAACAAATGCAATCATGATTCATGATTCTATCCAATGTGTCTGGTTAGGTAACACATGCTACATGTTTTTCCAGCTGTTTATTTTTAACCCAAGTGAAAGTAGACCAATTTGTATATTCATTAACGGCGAGGTGTTGCTAAATTGTTATTTTCGTACGAGGGGGTGTCGCTCAGATGGTAGAGCGCTCGCTTAGCATGCGAGAGGTACCGGGATCGATGCCCGGCACCTCCAAGTAGTTTTGAACTGATGTCCAAAACAGATATTTTGCACCTTATACTTATATATTCAGAGTTTTGTACAATGCTCGCTCATGTGCAGGTGTTTAGACTTAGTATTGAAAAACTGGCGCAATATGGTATTTTTTATTGTTTTCCGCACTGCTATCACTTTATGGACACAGCCGTTGGTCATTTAAGTTAGTGTTGTTTGAAAATCGCTGCCAATTATAATCTGCTGACTGCACACAAAAAGCAAAAAGGCAGAATGAAATAATAATGGAAATGGCTGTTAATAATTTGCAAAATTTTGGGTGCCGGGCATCGATCCCGGTACCTCTCGCATGCTAAGCGAGCGCTCTACCATCTGAGCTACACCCCCAGGTAACGGTGACTTGAATTAATGAAAACGCGATCTGATCGGATTTCAATAAATTGGTCTACTTTCACTTATATTCGATATAAAAAGAATATGTCACGTAAGTTGCCTACCCTGCCAGGCAGTGTACAAAGATTGAAGGGTATGGAAATCTGTGGTATAACAAACGAATCATAGCATAAGACTTACACCCCAATTATGAATGCGAAATCCGACGTAAACGCATTGTTTGTTAATAAGGTTCTATTTCCCTTCTTCAAATCATCAATCCACTCCTTTTTCCTCTTCCTCGCTTCCCTCCCCCTTCTCAGTACTTCCTCATCTCTACTAGCTCCATTACCGCTCCATTTTACTTTTAACAACCTCCTCCAAGTTCACATTCTTTCGGTCTTTCTAGTTCCCTTTAAGTTAATGTCCATACCTCACGTTCCACCAGCCTTTTTCTCAATTCTAAATCCATCTTAAGCACCACTCGCTTTCTCATATACGCTGTCTTGGCCATTCCAATCCTTATCTTCTTTTCACTCGACCAATCGTCGTGGTTCGTTCTGTGCTTCTCGCATTTCTTTATTCCCTTCTTTTTCTGATGCAGTATCATAACGGTTCTAAGAAAGTCTTCGAGTTACGCTTTACTCCCGTAGATCTTATTACACAAATCCCTCGCTATTCTTATTCCTTATTTCATTACACTTTATGAACTCTACCAATATCCCGTCTATCCCAGTAGCCTTACCATTCTCCATATCTCTTATAGCCGCCTTTATTTCTGACATCAAAATACTCCCACCCTTATCTTCCTCTGAAACTTCCGATTCTTCCTCTATATTTATAGGTTCAGGTTTCTCATTCGCTTATCCTCCTCGTTATCCTCTGTTAGCACCTTTCCGTCCTCGCTTTCGAGGCCAATTAAATAGCTATGTTGCTTTGAGTTTCTTTTAGCCCACACCATGTTTCTTACTTTGTTGTACACGGTGTCATGCCTTCCTATTCGATCGATCACGTTTGCCTTCTTAATTCATATTCAGTCGTATTCCTTTTTTTCCCTCTGCCGTATTTTGCCGCTTCCTCCTTTCTTCCATCTTTTCAATTATCACCTCCTTCTAGCCAGATTTTCTTCTGTAGTTTGATAACATGCAAACTCCATTTTCATTTCAATTCTCCTTGCCCTTTCTATATATATTCTTCATCCATCTCGCTTCATTTTACCAGATCCCATTCCTTTGCTCTTTTTGCCCCTTTAATCCTTCTCAATTTTATTTACACCTCTACCAACAAAAGAACATGGTATCACTATTAATATCTGCACCTGGTAATCCACACGCACTTTTAACCTATTTCTGCATCTCTCTTCAATAATGATGAAATCAATCTGCTTTAGTTATCTTTCTCCAGGGTATTTCCAGCTATAAAGTTTCCTTTTATAATGTTCAAACCAAGTGCAATCTACTCCCTTTCTTTAACACTTATTAGAAGAAATGAATTTCTGCCTCAACCACTTATTTCATGCTCCTTCACATTTATTTTGCCTTAGTAACCTCCACGCTATATCAGCTGGACTACATAAATAAGTCAGGAACTCTTCCTTATTTAGTTGAGTCTACCTAATACTTATTTGTTTTCCAGGACAGTGTTAAATAGCAGCATTGATAACGGCTTATCTTGCCTGAACCCACTTGGCTATACATGTATAATGAAAAGACAACGTCAAAAAATTTCCAAAATTTTGGAGGTGCCGGGCATCGATCCCGGTACCTCTCGCATGCTAAGCGAGCG